CGATGTAGGAATGAGTTTTCAATAATAATAAAGCACTAAATAGATAAATTTCTGAAATGACAACTTCATTTGACAGTTATCTTTTACCTTGACTCGTGCTCATAAGTAAATACAAAGCCATAAGAAAGGAGAAATGTTTAAAAAGAAATCGGCGATAACTCGTAAACGAGCTAATCAAAAATATCTGAAGTTATTCTTTTGAATGTGGGTTTTAGTGCTCTTCAATAAACCTAAATAGAATTATTCTCTAAATTAGGGAATCCAATAATTGACCCCATTAAAATTTACGTGGGATTTCCTATGTCCCGTCCAACGATGCAACACCCGGTATATCCATATACCAGTATATGAATAAACAAATTGTGAGATTTTGTTTTTGCATACACAATCAACTCTAGGTCAGAACTAATCGAAGCGTGTCAATTAAAACAAGAGAAGAACGGAAAAACAGCGAGAAGGAAAAAAAAGAACAACGCTTCATCGGAAAGCGAAGCTATGGCGAACGATATTATTAAAAATTACGGGTATCTGGAGTAAAAGTGAAAGCTGGAGGGACGTCACACACACACAAGTGAAACAGAAGAAAAAACGAAGAGAGACGAAGAACGAAGAAGAGAAGAAAAAATGTTTCGTAAATTATCGGACTTTCACTGTCGCCGGTCGTCGCGGTGTGCCTTGATTTTCATATTTTTTACGTCGTCGTTTGAATTCGAAACAAAAGAATATAGAGCCAATACCATGATGAGAAACAAACAGCTGAGAATCGGCATCGATAGAAAGTGCTAAAATAGATGGAAATAAAAGTGATAGTGAGATGGAAAAAAAGTTTTTGAAGAAAATTTTATTAAAATTTAATTTACAAAAAGAGTATTACACAGAAAGTGATTACCTATTTAAGAGTTTTATGCATTAAAATAAATAAATTATTATAAAAAAAATATTATATAAAATAGTAGATAAAATAGTACTTTAACGTCAAGGGTAGATTAAATGATACTTTAACAGCGAGGATAGGTTAAAAACTTTATTTCTTCTCGCACGTTTTTTAATTGCTTCCATTTTTGAAAATTTTTGTATTCCTTTTCATAAGTTATTCGGGATTTAAAGGGAAGTAGTTTGGATATATGGCGTTTGTCGTCTCAGCCTGAATATCTGTTGGTAATTTACTTATTTCGTTTTGAGCCATTTCTGGCTTCAATTCAATCAGCAATCGACACGAAAGAGAATTAAAAAATACTCAAAACTCAAAACTGACAACTAAAGAGACAGCTTTATTTATTTGTCAAATTACATAGAAACCAACGCCAACCAAACACAATATTCTTTCTACTCGTAATAAATGGCGATATTATTATATAACTTGGTAATATTTGAGAGGTAGTTTCATCTCGTTGGAATTTGACTTTCGAAAAATCGGTTGGCCAAAAATAAGCTTTTTACGTCAAGCAGTTTAAGCAGAATCGTGGTTAAGAAATTACCCAACTTTTTCGGAACACCCTGTATGATTTTTCAAAAAATTTTAAAATATGTAAAAAAAAACAAATAATTTATGCTTGTCCAAGCGTTTTCCCGAAAGACTAACCGTTTTTTAAATAACAAGTATTGTAATATTTGAGGGGCGTTTTCACCCTCTCGGAACCTCTACACCCCACAGTCAATCCGTTTACCAAAAATCAGCTTTAAACGTCAAGCAGTTTAAGCAGAATCGTGATTACTCAATAATATACTCAATGGTCATATTTTATGAAACACCCTGTATACATTTATAAAAAATCTTAAAATATGTAAAAAACAAAATAAAATATACGTGTTTAAGCATTTTTTCGGAAACTTGACCGTTTTTTAAATAAAAAATATTGTAATATTTGAGGGGTGGTTTCACCCTCTTGGAACTGGAATTTCGAAAAATCCCTTCTTATCGAACGTCTACACCCTAGAATCAACCTTAAGTCACTTAAGAATTTTATATATTAGTATAGATCACTGTGTTTCTTTAATAAAAAAGAAAGCTTAGTTAGAGTTCCAAAAAAATTAGAGTTCCAAAAAAAGAAATACAGTGATTTATAATAATATTAAATTTAATGTCATATAAGCACAAGCCGAATAAAAACTTAAACTTAACAGGGAAAAGCTAGTTAAAATTACACATTAAAAAATTATTTTTAAATTTGAATACCTTGTATATCGAAAATTAAATTGAATAAGAGAAAATATGTTACTTGTTTCCTTTCTAAAACTAATTAAAAATAACCAACAACAATATTATACGGCACTGAAGAAATACCCAGTAATATACTTTGATACGTAATTTATTTTGGGAAACTAAATCATAGTTTTCGAGAGAGGTAGGCAACCTAAAGGGTATTTGTGGGTTAATATTGGTCATGAAACTTCGTATGGCTAATAATTGTAATATATAATGGCTAATAATTGTAACCTACATCATATTTTTTGGAGCAATTTGGAACATTATGTATTAGCTTAATTAAAATGTGATTTTAGATTAAGCAGTTCTTAATTACCTTACTACCTAATACGGGAATACGGTTCCCTAATACGGGAACAGGGATCGGAGTGTTTGGGCCGAGAGCTAAATACTCCAAACCAATGGGCACTTACCCTAGTATCCTACAGGCAGAAATCTGCGCTATCGAAAGATGCGTACAACTTATCTTAGATAGGAACTATCGGAAACAAGAAATAGCTTTAAAAGCGATCAACTCAGTATCAATCAATTCGAAATTGGTCAAAGAATGCATAGAGAAGCTGAATAAATTAGGCAAAGAAAACAAAGTCCTCCTACTCTGGGTGCCTCCTCACCAAGGGATAGAAGGCAATGAAAAAGCAAATAATCTAGCTAGGAAAGGAGCGAACACTCCACTAACTGGACCAGGACCGTTCTGCTTTCCAAGTGGTAACCAACTCAAGGCGGAACTCAAGAACTTGGAAGATTCCATCCGCAACCTGGAATGGAAATCTTGCAACGGTCTAAGACACTCGAAGAAGTTTCTGAGGGCTTATGATCAAGAAAAATCACAGATCTTCCTGGGTTTAAGTAAGAACAATCTTCGGATTGTCACAGGGTTTTTAACAGGACATCAATGAACACCTCGGTAGATTGAAACTAAGAAGAAACGGCGAATGCAGATTCTGTGGGGAAGATGGGGAAACACCAGTACACCTCATCACTGAGTGCGCCGAGACGACAACCATTCGTGCCATGAATTTTGGTACGACTGGTATTGGAAATGGAGAACTACCCTCTATAAAACCGTCCCAGATACTGGCTTTTGTCAAAGCCCTGGGACTGTATGATGAGTTATGACTCAGGAAAGGGGGGCACAATGGATCTGTAAGTTCGCAGTGATTAACCCCCCTCCCACTCATTCTAAATTCTAAAAAAATTCTAATTACCTTACGGTCTTTATTGATTTTTTATGGTACTAGAGGGAAGTTAAAACTAGAATTACCATGAGGGAAAACTGTTGGAAATATTGTACTTTCTCAGAATACCATCAGTTTTTAGATAATTTATCACCAACGTTAAACGCACTAATTTTATTTAATCAAAATTTTTTAGCTTCAGCTGATCTAAACTATTATATAAAATCCTTCAGTGACTGACATACTGATTAATCACGATCCTGCTCAAACCACTCAACGTAAGAAGCTCAATTTTGGCATACAGGTTGAATCTAGGTTGTAGAGGTTCGATAAGAAGGGATTTTTCGAAATTCCAGTTCCAAGAGGGTGAAACCACCCCTCAAATATTACAATATTTTTTATTTAAAAAACGGTCAAGTTTCCGAAAATATTTTATTTAGTTTTTTTCCATATTTTAAGATTTTTTAAAAATGTATACAGGGTGTTTCGAAAAATCTGGTCATTGATTAATCACGATCCTGCTTAAAGCGCTTGACGTAAAAAGCTGATTTTTGGAAAGCAGACTGACTTTAGGGTGTAGAGGTTCGATAAGAAGGGATTTTTCGAAACTCGAATTCTAAGTGGGTGAAACTATCCCTCAAATATTAAAATATTTTTTATTTAAAAACCAGTGAGTTTTTCGGAAAAACTCTTAAACACGTATATTTTATTTTGTTGTTTTACATATTTTAAGATTTTTTATAAATTTATACAGGGTTTTTCATAAAATATGACCATTGTGTAATCACGATTCTGCTTAAACTGCTTGACGTTTAAAGCTGTCTATTCCATTTTTGGTAAACGGATTGACTGTGGGGTGTAGAGGTGCGATAAGGAGGGGTTTCTCGAATCTCAAATTCCAAGAGGGTGAAAACGCCCCTCAAATATTACAATATTTGTTATTTAAAAAACGGTTGGTCTTTCGGGAAAACGCTTGGACAAGCATAACTTATTTGGTTTTTTTACATATTTTGAAATTTTTTAAAAAATCATACAGGGTGTTCCAAAAAGTTTTATTTTTCGCAAACGGATTTTTCGAAAGTCAAATTCCCCATTCAAATAGATGAAACTACCCCTCAAATATTACCAAGTTATATCATTATATCGCCATATTGTTTTTTCTCATGCTGACATAAACGTGAGAAAATTTTATCCAGTTTGTATGTTAATGGAAATTCTTGCTTTGCTCTATCATCACAAGATCATCACCATTACAAATGATTAATTCGACACGCTAGTAATCTTATAAGCTCGAAAATTTCTTATAAGGAATTAATAATGGGCCCGTTTTCAAAAATCTTTACAATTCTGAAAATACGCACTATTAGAAAGTATACCAGTGAAATTATAACTAAAAAAAATACTTCTGATATTTTGATTTTTTGCCGCTATTGGGAACTTCTGCATCACTGTGCGCTGGTGCACCAATGACTCCATATTACAGCAATTCAATATTTCTTCTTCAATGTCGTTCACTGGCTCCCGTACTACGCCGCCTACCCAGATGCATCCGATATAATTCCTCCTTCGCTTTCACTTGTCATCGGACCAAAACGCCACCCGCCAACCTGCACCCATCCAGTAGGTAGTCCTCTTTTGTTTTTCTCTTCGTGCGGCGTTCTTCGTTTGTTTTCCTCGGAGCGGCACTCTCTAGATGGCCGAAGAAAGTAGCCTGCAGCAGTCAGTTTTAGTCCTGGTTGCGCTGAACACGCGCGCGCAGGAAAATCACCGAAAATCGCACTAAATCGGGAATGAAATCGGTCAAAATTACCGATTAAATTCGTTTTTATATGAGAACGAGTTTTTATAGCGAGACCACGAATGTTTACATTAAATCGACCGATTTGCTGTAGTATATAAATCGTTTTTTTTAAGGTATTGAATCGGTGTGAGGTGTACTGCAGGTTAAAAATAAGAAGAAATGAGAGGGTTGTGGTGGAGGGTAGTGGTGTTAGTGTTGGTTTCGATGATTTTCGGTGGTGTCAGGTGCGGTCCCAGTCAGAAACAGACGCAGGAGTTGATGATGTTGAACAGTTTGGGAAAGAGTAGCAGTATACCGAACAGCGAGCAGGATACTTTTATGGATATGGTTGGGAGAAGTAAGGCGATACATTTAATATATCTTTAGTTAGATATGTTGTTGAACTATAATATATTTGTACTTAAAACTTTAACACCCTTTAGTCCGGTCAAATTGGACCAAAAAATAAGAGTAAAGCTACATAAATTTACAACAAGCTGAAAATGCGTATAATTGTTTATTTTAAAATTCATAAAATTATCTATAAAAAATGTATCAATACTTTTTTCCCTTAGAGCCACTGTTTCTAAAATAAACGAGTCAAAGACTTCTAAACGTCATAATGTGCACACGTTTTCACGCCACCTGTGAGGTGGCGTAAAACTTATGCACATTATGACGTTTTTTTAACATGGTTTCCCCAAACCAAACCAAACCAAATCAAAGATATAAAGATAAAATATAAAACCCGTATGTAAAACTTAACTAACTGAAGGTAAACATCAGGCTTGTTGCATTTTATTTGATTCTGAAGAAAAACTTTATATAAATTGAGCTAAGAAATGTTGATTCCTTCTCGATACATCGATTTGAACGTTATACAATTTTTTACATTGTATTTGCTACCTAATATTAACGTAATCGTTCTAGATTATAAGTAGATTATAAAACTGTATTTTACTATAACTGATTTTAATCATACGTTGAATTTTATTCCGTATTTAATTTACGAAAAAATCTATATCTTGATAATAATAAACAAAGAAAAAGCAACAGATGTATTTCATTTACATATTTGTTTTTTAATATACAGTATGTTCCCGGATTGTCTTTACAAGAGGAAACCCTTTTTTATTATTGTGATTTTGAGCAAAATGCATTCTTCATAAAAAAATTTTGCTTATTCTCGAATAGTTATCCCGTTTATCATTTTCAAAATCTGGTCATTGATTAATCACGATCCTGCTTAAAGCGCTTGACGTAAAAAGCTGATTTTTGGAAAACAGATTGACTTTAGGGTGTAGAGGTTCGATAAGAAGGGATTTTTCGAAACTGGAATTCTAAGAGGGTGAAACTATCCCTCAAATATTAAAATATTTTTTATTTAAAAACCGGTGAGTTTTTCGGAAAAACTCTTAACACGTATATTTTATTTTGTTGTTTTACATGTTTTAAGATTTTTTACAAATTTATACAGGGTGTTTCATAAAATATGACCAATGAGTAATCACGATTCTGCTTAAACTGCTTGACGTTTAAGCTGATTTTTGACAAACGGATTGACTGTGAGGTGTAGAGGTTCGTCAATTATTAAAGAATACAAGGACAAATAGCACCCGAAACCAAACTGTGACCATTCTTCCAGTGTCGTGGCACATATTTTACTTAACATTGCCGCTTGAAGGGATATTTATATTTTTGATATTATATGTTTTCACTACGCCTATGGTGTATCGGGTGGTATCATACTAATTAATTACGAAAAAAACGTATTAAAATGTTAACAAAAGGTACATAACTAGTATCGACGTATAGTACATATCAAGTACATATAATATCAGAAAAATAATTATCGAATTCAATAAAAAAAAACGCTCAAAAGGTGTAGGGGACTGTTTATTTCCCTATAAAACGTAACTTCTGGCTCTTTCTTATCATTGCGCCTTTTACACTTGACAGCTGAACAAATTACCATTGTAATAAAGTTTATACAAAGTTCACTACACACAACCAACTATTAAAAATCGCTAAAATTGTCGCTGATGACCAGCTGATTCATTCGTTATGTCTAAAAAGTTGGCGTCTAAGGTCACAAATTCTGCTGCAGCCCTTATATGGGCGTTACATGTCCTTGTATTCTTTAGTCATAGATATTCATCCATCTTCTTCTTCTTTTTTGTTTCGTTCTTACTTACTCAATGATCATTACTTTTTAAAAATTTTCGGCCATAATTTCGGGGGGGGGGGGTTTGAACCCCCAAAACACCCCCCCAGATACGGCCCTGCTTGCAATTAGTTTAATAAATTAGTGGTTTCAATTACACTTTATACTCTTTGGTTTACGATCATTCACAATTTCGAAAAAAACACAATTAAAATTAATAGAATATCTTAGCAACAGTTTGCGGTAGTCAATTGTATATTGTATCTATAGAGCACGGCCGTCCTGAGGGGTGGAGCAGGGGAGCAGTTGCTCCAGGCAGCCAAATTTGAGAGCGGCCGTTTCGGTACAATTGTACTGAATTCGATACATTTTGACAAAATTCGGTGCGTTAGTACTACATTTTGGAAAAATGGTCATTTTCGGTACGAAATTTCCAACAGTATAAATGCAACTAGTAAACTGCTTCAGAATCAGAAACTCTTTGAGTCCACAAAAGCTCTAAAAGCTATCGACGACTATTTTGTCAAAATAAGGACTGAAGACCTTTTAGAGAAATATTAGTGGATGCTGCAGAGCTGGCAGAAGAGCTGGAAATTGAAGCAGTTTTTACTAATGACATTAAAGCACGTCCCAGAAAAAAAAACTACACAGTTTTTGTATGAATCAGTTGATGAGCCAATTTTAGATCCACAGGAAAAGTTTAAAATCGAATTTTTCTTTGTTGTCCTGGATACACCCCATGAGGCTCTCCAGGAAAGGTTTGACCTGTTAAAAGTTCACTCGGACTATTTTTCGTTTTTATACGACGTCACAGTTCTCAGGAATTATCAACCGAGAGGAAATAAGAAAGCATTGTATGGATCTTCATCTCTATCTAACGGACGGAGAAAAATATGATATTAATGGCCTAGAGCTTCGGGACGAGATTTTAGCTCTAATTGCTCTAATACCACCAGATAATTCCGAAAACTTCAGTTGTCCAAAACAAACACTAAAATATTTAAAAATTCACGATCTGATTGGAAACTTTCCAAATATTTACATTTCCATATAAGAATCTTATTAACGCTGCCGGTTTCAGTGGCAACCGGAGAGAGAAGTTTTTCTAAACTCAAAACAATTGAGAATTTCCTGACATCAAGTATGACACAAGAACGATTAAGCGGATTATCTTTAATATCTATTGAGCACGAAATAGCGAACAGTCTAAATATCGACGATTTTATTTCAGAGTTTGCCGAAAAAAAAACAAGAAACAGGTTTTAGTTTTGTCCATGTTAAGGTGCGTATTCATTATCCAAACGAACGAACGAACGAACGAACGAACGAACGAATGAAAGTGCGGTATATTTAGACGGGGACCGAACGCATGCGGCCGTTCGTTCGTTCGTGCGCTCGACCATCCGCTTCGAGTCGGTACATCAAAGGCGTTTAGACGTCATGGTACAAAGAATACAAGGTATGATCGATAGCGGCTCCAATTTCGTTCAGTTCGCGCATACCACCTGTGACGTCACTAGGAAAATAATGAATAAATAAAAAATAAAGAAAGTTGACAGGAGATCTGCAATTTTTGGGGTTATGGTTAAGAATTGTTTATTTTAAGACTTTTTAGTTCGTTTAATTTAATAATTACTAAAACCAGCAGTTCCAAAAATATATTTAAAAATAATAATTATCTATTAACATGGATTTGGACGATAGGTAAGAATACTGAATTTATTTCTATATTCGGTATAAAATTGTTTATTAGGTTTTTAGTTTGCGATGTTTATGGTAAATAATTTTCATTTTCATTGCCTCTGAATTCACATGAGGACAGAGTTGAGGATATCTATGGAAAAGTAACCACAAGAGGAATTGTTACATCATTTAAAAAATATTGGGAAGTTTATTGTTTCCCATCGAAAAGTAGAAAATGCCAATGCAGATGAACGTATTGTAATTGTGATAGAAGTAATTCTAAGGGTGAAGTTTATTATAATTAGTGGAAGTAATACCAAGGGTGAAGTTTATTATAATTAGTGACCTCTGCTTCTTTTTATATGTAGAAGTTTCTGGTTTTGAGAATAAATCGGTTGAACGACACCCAAAATTTAAAGGAAGTATTTGCATACCCAGAATATGCCCATCAAGGATTATATAGCTCAAATTTCCTTTAATGGTAGGCAATTATTCAATGCAAATTAACTTTTTAAGTGACTAAAATATTAAATAGTTTACAATATGGTATATCACTAAAAATATATTCTTTTAGGTACAATTAGGGCCCGATACATTTCAAAAAGTAGAATATTATTTTATATTAAATGAGGTATTGTACTAACAATCAATTTATATTAATAACGGAGATTAAAAAATAACAGAATAAATAGTTCTTTTTCTTATACTACAAAAATAAACTATAGAATACAACAGTATTTAAAAAAAATAAAAAGTAATGTTCCGGCCGAGATTCGAACTCCGGTCTCTCGCTTCCTAGCCCGACTCCTTATGCACTGCTCCATAGTAACTTGCTTAGCGATAATTCAATGACGGTATATAAACAAAAAAAAAACAGGTTTATAGCAATATTTTGACGATTTGAACTGGCGCGCGAATGAAGAAATGTGTGCGGTCTTCTCGTGCGGTTCTATCGTGCGGTCCCCGTCCATACCACTAGCGAACATTCGTTCGTTCGTTCGTTCGTTCGTTCGTTCGTGCGGATAATGAATACGCACCTTTAGGAATTTTGTTTCTCGGGATTATGTCTATGTATTTATTACGAATTTTGTTTTGTTAATAATTTATAACAATTTATATTACCTAGTTTTAGGTGTTAGTTTTGCTAATGTACCTTATAATGCTTTTTTTTATTCTTGTTAGGTGCCATGTGACGCTCCTTTTAAATACAAAATTTAAATGCTAATTCTGAAAATGTTGCAATATTGATTTCCTTTTTTTTTCGGAAAGCGTTTGATAATATTTCTTACCGTCTGTGGCACATCTTTCATATTTTTGTTCATACCTGATCCTTCGGGAAAAAACGATTGTCTTTAGGGGAGGGGGGGGGTAGGTTAGGTTACATTGAAATTAAAGGAACAAACTTCTACGCTAATTGAAACCACTAATTTACTCCACTAATTGCGAGGTTCTGAATAAAGCTTAATATGCAGTACGTCCGCTCGATCTGTGTCTATGAAAGGAATGCGGACAAAAAATATTTAAATAAACAACAATATATTTTATACGTCGACTTGACGAGTACGTCACCGCAAATCGCTCCGCCCACTCATTTTATTGACTACTTGCAAATTTGTCGAATTTTTATTGATGGGACGCGTCGTCTAATTTTTTACGAAAAACATTGAGAGAATGTCGTTTCCCCTCTCACGGATACCCCGTAGCTACAGAACGGACAGACGTACTGTAATTTCGATTTCATTCCTAGAGAGATGATTCAAGATCTTCATGTTTTTTTTTTAATTTTGTCTAAAACGGTGTGGAAATTTGTATTGGTGTATACTGGATGCCAAAAGTTGACGTATGATACGTCATTCTATTCAGAGTGTCATTTTCTATCGAATAAACTAGAAATATACCCAGGGTGCCATTTAAAAATCAAAAGTTGCAGTAATTTCCGGTGAAACAGGAAGTAACCAAAAACAATTGAATACGTCAATCAATCCTAATTTATGTCATATACTAACATACCAAATCTCGTTTTTTTAACTGAAAAAATAAAAAAGTTATCGGGGTGAGCCACTTTTGAGACGGACCCGGTATATCTAATTATTCTTATATGCTGAAAATTACATTTTTGAACCTCTTAAGTTTGTTTATTAAACATCTATAAATCGAATTGAAAATGGTACAATTTTCCGTTTTCTCTACTTTTGTGAAAGTACAAGCAAAGTAATTTTGTAATAATTGAAAAATTTTACCGTAAACTATTTAAATATTATTAATTAAAGTCTCTAAATCAGCCTATAAACTGTTTTAATTATAGACCTTTTAATTATAGACCCTTAATTATAGTTTGCTTCAGAAGATTGTGGATCTTTTCAACCTTTGCCTTTTTGATGGTACTCTGCCTGGGAAGTGGTACAATGCTGTAGTAATACTACTTCACAAAAAGGGGGACATAGCAGATCTAGAAAACTATAGACCGATAAGTCTGCTTAGCCACCTTTATAAACTGTTTACGAGGATAATAATAGGCAGGACGTTCGTCAAGGATACTATATCACCGAGGTATTTACCGCCGTTTTGGAGAGTGCCTTTAAGAAACTCGACTGGGAGGGGAAGGGACTGATGATTGATGGCAAGAACCCCACAAATTTGCGTTTTGCTGATGACATTGTTTTATTATCCGACAACCTAAGGGATACTGAAGTGATGCTCCGAGAATTGCGGGAGGTGTGTATCGGGGTTGGTCTGAAGATCAACTTCTCAAAAACCAAATTCATGACCAACCTGGTCCCCAGTGAAAATATTGTTTTATTAATTATGGAGCTTGTGGATAGGTATAACTACCTGGGACACGAGATACAGATCACAAGAGACAATCAGACATGCGAACTGAATAAACGTATAACCCTGTCTTGGGCCGCCTATGGAAAGTTAAAAGATGTGTTTAAGGGCGACCAGCCAATCTGCCTAAAACGAAAGGTTTTCAACCAATGTGTACTACCGGATATGACCTATGGGGCTAGGACCCTGACACTGGCGCGCGTCTGCCAGAGAGCTCAGAGTGGCACAGCATTGACCATTAGAACAGTATTATCATCTTTACCTGTCGTCTGTATACCGTGATACGGTGATACCGTCGTCTCTCATATATTCTCCACGATCCCGCTACACTCAAGTGGAATTGGGCTGGACATGTGGCTCGAGTGACCGATGGTAGGTGGACTAAAACACTGCTCGAATGGAGACCGAGGGCTGACAAAAGAAACCAGGGAAGACCACCAACACAATGGACTGACGACATAAAAAGGATCACCAATAACTGGATCCAGAGCGCACAAAATAGGCAACAGTGGGCGCAAATGGGGAAGGCCTATGTCCAGCAGTGGACGCAAAGGGCTGGCTGATGATGATGATGAATTATAGACCTGTATAATATCAATCAATCCTTATCTTTCGTGAATCTAATTCACTGAATATAGGGTGTTTTTCAAAAGTGGCTCGCCCCTATAACTTTTTTATTTTTTCAGACTAAAAACGACATTGAGTACTTGACATAAATTAGGATACATTGAGGTATTCAATTATTTTCTGGCACTGCTTGTTTCACCGGAAATAACTACAGCTTTTGATTTTTAAATGACAACCTCGGTATATTTTTACTTTATTTTATAGAAAATGACATTCTGTATAGAATGACATATCACATGTCTGCGTGGTTTATAAAAAAAAAACCTATTAGGCAGAACCACCGGCAGAACCCTGTCGTTGGAAGTGAAGAAAATTAATTTGCTGTAATTGGCTCTTTTATAGAAAATCCATATATCAACAAGTCATCGTAAAATAAATCAAAGAACTACTTTTTCGTTTTTCTTGATAGAATAATAAATACATATTTAATAAATATTATTTATTAAACTATTGTAGGTAAATAAAAGTAAACTGGTATAAATTTAAATAAGCCCATAAACTAATTTCGATTTTGAAAATAGCTAACTGTCACTGGAAACTTCTAATGACGACACTATATAGTCCTCTTGGTTGCCATTTTATTTAAAAATTGCTCTTTTTCAAAATCTGAGCTAGATAGGTATAGGACACCCTAATATAGTTTGACAGATCATTTGAATGTGCTTCGATTTATTTAAAAAAGTACAGGGTGTTGAAATAAAGAAGTTTTTATGTAAAATAAATTCTTAAAAGAGATCAGCAATTTCTGATACTACTGTATAAATTTAAGGAAGCCATAACATTTTTCTGTAAAGTTTATTTCTCTACCTTTAAACTCAAGCACAAGAATTAATTCTGAATAGTAATGTACAGGGTGTTAATAATCTATTCCATTATAGCATGCAAAATTAAATATCTTTAAATATCTCAAAAACCAAAAATTTTAAACATATTTAACCCTTATAATAAATGCATTTTTTGGGCCCAAGAATCCAAAAATGAAATAAAATACCGGGTGTTACATAAGAAAAAATATAACTTTGGTATGGATCTTAGTTCTGAAACACCCTGTATATTTAAAATAATTTTAAATTGTGCACATTGCCTCCCCACATATACCCATATAATATTTTATTTCTACATCTTTCCGTTTTCGTATAATCAACCGAGGGGAATGAGGTGCGCCACTCTGTATACTAATAGCACAAATTAACTACAACAGATGCGAAAGAACACCGAATTACGCGTTCAGGTTTCAGTGACCTTCAGAAAGAGTTCATAGACAATCCGCATCAATGTATAGTTTGGGTTATTATTTGTTTGGGTGAAAATAATCTGCACCAATATGTTATCAAGGCATATAATCTCACAGTAATTTAATAGATTGCTCGTCATATTATATCAGTTCGTAGGAGATTAGGAAAAAAAAGATATTTATAATATAAAAAATTAATTTATTTAACAAAATTTAATTAAAGATGTGACAAAATAGTTACTTTTCTATTGGTTCTATCGGACTTTTTTCGACTATATAAACCTTTATTTTTTGTAAACTTTAATGCATAAAATATTTTCAATTTAATAAATAATTTAATGATGTAAATAAGAGGAAATTTCTCACATGGGTGGTCAAATTCTATAGTTTTCATTATATCAAACAGCCTCTGAATGTTTTCAAAACTCATCAAAATTTAATATAAATATTTTTTCCATTTCCAGTAAATAAAATGAACAAATTTTTCCACTTTCATGATCAAAGGCTTTTAAATGGGTAAATAATTTCGAGTTATCCAGAGATTTGGATTCTTTTGCAAATTTTAGACAAATATCACATTGATGTATTTGAAGACCCTTTTAATTGATGTAGTCAAACATAATTTTGAGTTGAAAACATTTCGCAGAGGCTGTTTGATATAATGAAAACTATAGAATTTGACCACCCATGTGAGAAATTTCCTCTTATTCACATCATTAAATGATTTATTAGATTGAAAATATTTGATGTATTAAAGTTTACAAATATAGATTTATATAGTCGAAAAAAGTCCGATAGAACCAATAGAAAGGTACTATTTTGTCACATTTTTAATTAAATTTTGTTAAATAAATTAATTTTTTATACTATAGATATCTTTTTTTTCCTTATAACACATTTGTATCCCATTTTAAATAAGATATACAAATTACCAAAACTTAGAAATAACAGTTCAAAAGTTCAACAAAAATCCTACACCCGTTTTTAAAAAGAAACATATAACCACGCACTATGTCATTCCAGCAAGCGAATACGACACAGCATAGGTTTCCGGACTAAACGACTGGTGTATTTACACCACTCAATAGGCGTGTGGGGTTTGCCGAGCGGTTTCCGATGCAGTCGCTTTCTTTCGCATCTGTTATAGGTAATTTGTGCTAATAGGTATACAAAATCTCGTTTTTTATTTGGAAAAATAAAAAAGTTATAGTGACGACTTTTGAAAAAACACTCTGAATATCTTTACTCGTTTTATTTTGTTTCCACACTAAAACATGTATCTACATTAAAATTCTAATTCTAATATGGTACTTTATCTGTTTTGTTTCAGTGATACCGCAATCGTGTAGGTACCGTGGCGTGAAGTACGAGTGCGGACTTAGTATATCCTGCGTCCTGGTGGGAGGCAGGCCTCTGGACCTCTGCTCTGGAGGCATGATTTGGTCGTGCTGCGTCGAAAAGGACAGCGATCACCACGCTACGCCTACACAAAACTCGGACGTAGGTGTTCTACATAACGCCAGTAAGTTTTTTGTGAACATACATTATAGTCGAAGAGCTAGAAACGTTTTCGAGAAAGTATTTTAAGACGTCTGGCTCTTTGGTATATCTTTTACTATGCTCTCTGGAACAGCATGCGGCCCGTCTGGCTGCCGATACCCGTTGCGTTCACTACTGCGCATCGAAAGAAGATCCTATATTTTTTATTAATTTAGTCCTATAAATCCTAGTATTGAATATAAATCGAACGTGTCTCCATAGCGCAGTGCGTAGAGTTTCCGACCACGAACCAATTATTAAATTATTAATCCGGGTCAGGACAAAGACTTTTTTATTTTATTTTCGTTTATATTCTGATAGTAAAGTATTAAATAATTCTGGTAATTTAAAGAAAAACAAATATTTAATACTTTACTATCGAATATATTGGGTGTTTCAAAACAAATGCGAGAAACTTTAGGGGGTGATTCCTTGTTCAAAATAAAGGGTAGTTTGCTTTATAAACGTTGGGTCAAAAGTCAACCATTAGGGAGATATCGCGGTACAAAGATGGCGGAAAAATAATGTTTTTATTTTTTATCTTGAAAACGAAAAGAGATAGACTAATGAAATTTTATGGAAGCATTACTGTTATGAAAACACACTTTCAGGTAATTTTTTTACTTTTTTAAAATGAGTGGAAGGGGTTGAAATAAACTACCCCTATCATTCTTGTTACCGAAATTTAAAGAAAAATCTTATCAAACACATGCAAATGCTTTAATTTGGATAGTTTAGTTGGTTTAGAAACTTTTTTACCTCTTGTGTTTTTTCGATAAAACTCACCGATTGGAAATTAAAAAATAAAATGTAAAGCATTACATGTCAGGACAAAAAACATTTTCTGATAAAGAATCTAGTGATAATAACGATAAGAATAATCATCTAGATAATAACGTATTGCAGTAGAGTAATTCAAATAAAATAATATTAGGAACATCTTAAAAAGTAACAGCGGCCGACTAGATTTTTTCCTAAAAAAATTACAGCAGCCCACTAGATTCTTTATCAGAAAATGTTTTTTGTCCTGACATGTAATGCTTTATATTTTATTTTTTAATTTCAAATCGGTGAGTTTTATCAAAAAAATACAAGAGATAAAAAAGTTTCTAAACAAACTAAACTATCAAATTAATTTTTTTGCATGTGTTTGATAAGATTTTTCTTTAAATTTCGTTAACAAGAATGATAGGGGTAGTTTATTTCAACCCCTTCCACTCATTTTAAAAAGTGAAAAAATTACCAGAAAGTGTGTTTTCATAACAGTAATGCTTCCCTAAAATTTTATTAGTCTATCTCTTTTCGTTTTCAAGATAAAAAATAAAAACATTATTTTTCCGCCATCTTTGTACCGCAATATCTCCCTAATGGTTGACTTTTGACCCAACGTTTATGAAGCAAACTACCCTTTATTTTGAACAAGGAATCACCCCCTGAAGTTTTTCGCATTTGTTTTGAAAGACACTGTATAAACGAAAATAAAATAAAAAAGTCTTTGTCCTGACCCGGATTCGAACTCTGAATCATCGGTTCGTGGTCGGAAACTCTACGCACTGCGCTATGGAGACATGTTCGATTTATATTCAATACTAGAATTTAGAGCACTAATGAAAATATAGGATCTTCTGTCAATGCGGTAGGGAACGCAACGTTTACCGGCAGCCAGACCTATCTTTTACTATGCTCTCTGGAACAGCATGCGGTTCATCTGGCTGCTGGTACCCGTTGCGTTCACTACTGCGGATCGGAAGAAGGTCTCGAACTATGACGCTTCGCTTGATAGGCGGAACCTCAACGCGCTGAGTCATGGAGACTCGGTCGGTTTATATTCAATACTAAAATTTAAAGGACTAATAAAAATATAAGATCTTCTTTCAATGCGCAGCAATGAACGCAACGCGTTACCAGCAATGGACAGACGGGCCACATGCTGTTCAGAGGCGTAGTAAACGGTATATTAAAGGGGCTTTTCTTACAATATTTGTTTGCACGTTGCTAGTTTGCTAGTTATTTTAGATTGGGTCAAATTCAGAAGCTTTTAATGGAAACACCCTTTTCTATAGGAGATAGACAAAAACTAATATCGGTATCTGGAGCTCAATTTTTGTCAAAAACATGATGGTGAAAACCGCATATCGATATCTGTTACCGTTTCGGAGTTACGGGGTGTTTTTCAAAAATATGCATTTTTAATAAATTGCTGTAACTTTTTTGCTATGGAAAATTTTGTATTTTTATGAAAACATTTCCAAAGTACCTTTTTACGTAGAATTTAATGGTTTAAGAATACTTTTTTTAATTAATAATTTAAGAATTATCAACAGAAAATTTGATTTTTTATATGGGACACCCTGTATATTTTTAATTAACTGTAAAGAATTTAAAATTACCTTTCCAAAAATATAACACACTTGTTATTTTACTCAATTCCTCTTCGAGATATAGAGTATATAAAAATTTGCCCGCTTTAAATGAGTAGGATTTGAACGGCACTGGCTATAATGCAAAAAATTCAAGCTGTGAGCATGAAAATAATATTTGCTATGAGAGATGCAGAGTTTTATAACAATTTAAAATATATTTAACCAACATCAACACATTTAAACTATATCTAATAACAATAAAAATAAATAGCAAACCAAGACATGAAATTTTGCTACAGGTGTTCGACATATCGACCGTCTTCTGTTATGGACAGACGAGGCAGTTTTTGAACAATTCTCGGGGAATTCATTAACTCAGTAGGGGTGAAAGATACCCTCTTATAACTGCTAAGTATTTCTAATTCTTGTTTAGATTTTATGGAAGAAACCTTTATTCTTCCGCAAATATATCCATAGGATTAGATTCACGGGCACTAAGTCATGCGGCCTCGACGGCTTTAACGGCTGGGGATCTTGGTTATTGGCTGCAAAAATTTGCTGATAACTTCAACGTTTAGAGGCGGTGCGTCGTCTTGCTGGAAAAATATGTTTTCGAGTTCCATTAAGGACATATCATCAATAAGGAGTCCAAAGCCTACTAGTTAAAAGTGGCAAACTTTTAAAAATTCTGTATTTCGAAGGGGATTATAACAAAATATCAAGTGTGCTATATTTTTGGAAAGGTAATTTTAAATTCTTTTCAGTTAATTAAAAATATAGAGGGTGTCCCAAATAAAAAATCAATTATTCTGTTGAAAACTCTTAAATTATTAATTTTAAAAAAAGTATACTTAAACCATTAAATTTTACGTAAAAAGTTGCTTTTGAAATGTTTTCATAGAAATACAAAATTTTCCATAGCAAAAAAGTTAGGGCGATTTGTTAAAAATGCACATTTTTGAAAAACACCCCGTAACTCCGAAACGGTAACAGATATTGATGTGCGGTTTTCACCATCATGTTTCTGATGAAAATTGAGCTCCAGACACCGATATTAGTTTTCGTCTATCTCCTATAGAAAAGGGTGTTTCCATTTAAAAGCGTCGAATTTGACCCACCCTGTACAGATAAAGTGAAATTTTGGACTTTAGCGTTAGTTTTTGCTTTCAATTAGATTAAAACGACTGGATTGAATTCAAATAATCTGTTTTCTCTCAAAATGAATTATAGTCTAATAAAATGGGTTTATTGGCTGGATTTTGAAAAATCTCGTTCGAAAATGTTGATTATTTTTAGTTTTAGCTCACCTCTATAATTTTTTTATTTTTTCAGATAAATAAACAATATTTGGTTACGTTATTCAATTGTTTTCGGTCACTTTCTGTTTCACCTGTTCACCTGTTTTTTTTTTGTAATAGCACTCTCGGTATTTTTTCACTTTGTTCGATAGAAAATGACACTCTAAATAGAGTGACATATCATATGTCAACTTTTGATATTCTCGCTTAAAAGAAATCGTATTTTAAATTTGGCTTTGTTAAAACCACCAGTTTTAAGCCTTGGAAAAATAGATTTAATCGTCTAATATTTTTCGCGTCTTTTCCTGGCTGATTAAAAGATGTCCAAATCGTATTTTTAATCATAATTCATTTTTTTTAAACGGAACGAGGGTGGCTCATTTGCATATTTGGAAAAAACATTTTTTTACAAACAATTTGGCATCACACACTTGGTATTTCGAGTCAATTTCTCATTAAATTTATGGCCATGGTACTCTAACTTGAAATTTAAAATGCTATGAACATTAGCGTAAGTAGCAATTCATCTTGGGGGGGACCTAAGTCTTTTGTTCTTTAAAAAATGAAGAATAATATTAAAAAACACATTTTCTGAATAAAACATTTATATGAATTTCTCTATCAATAAATTTCAGACTTGGTTATCAAACCGTGTTCCCGTAGATTACTTAAATACCTGCAAATTTTCTAAAAAAAATAAAAATTAACACATTTTTTGAATACAACATAATAATTTTAAATAAACAAAACTAGAAAACGTCATTTTTACTACATCACAAGCAAATAAAAATTAATACGTAGCCATGAGTCATAATTCAAAATTTCTCTGGGAGATGCCCAGCAGTACATGGGAGGGGGCGGCACCCCCGGGTACCACTGTAGTTACGCCAATGGCTATGAAGTACAAAAATACAGAGGGTTGGATTTAAAAATCAAAAGTTTTTTGCAGTCATTTCCGGTGGAACAGGAAGTGACCGAAAACAATTGAATACGTAAATCAATCCTGAATTATGTCATATTCTAGTATACCAAATCTCGATTTTTATCTGGAAAAATAAAGAGTTATAGGGGTGAGCCACCACTTTTCGAGAAACATCCGGTATAGAAGTACAGCATATTTTACCAAACTAGTTTATTGTTTTGCTTTTGTACGAAGTAGGAGTTCCGCTATATTCTTAAGTTAGTTAACAATTTGTTATATTTTCTTTTTAATTTGATTTTAAATTCTACAAGGACAATCTATATTATACGGAGTGTCCCAGGCTGAGCTTGCATTAGAAATTTAGAGAGAACTAAAATATCTAGATCGGATCTTATTCCATATTATTGTTTCCCAGTGAGATCTCTGGATTAAAAATATTTTTAATATGGCGGCACTTCCGAAAGTACCGTATTTCAAATGGATACCCCCAATATTTTATAAATATTTAAATTATCTGTAAAATCTCATGAATTTTGATATCAACTACTCTATATCTAAAGTTAGCTGTTTGAGAAAAAAAAATTTAACATTTCTTAGAGCTACAAATTTTTTAAATGAAAAGTGATGACAATGAAAAGTTGGTTTCCATAACAATGTATAATTTGTACTTTCCATAGGTACTTTCTAAACCGTCTAAAATTGTGATTATTTTGAAAATACCTGGACCTTTTAATGCGCATTCGCAAAGTAAGGTCCTCGAGAGAGACAAACCTATTGAACGTTTCATAAGTGCAATAAAGAAGGTTTGAAAATGGCATGTTGTGATGTTAGCAACATATTTTTAATGCTAAACTTATGGCGTTGATTTATCCATGTAAGTATATACGATCTAGGACAAAAAAGCTCCGATCGAGATATTTGAGTTCTATCTAATGTGAGTTCAGCCTGATACACCCTGTATATATATCGTCCTTATTGAGTTTTTGATCAAATTATATAAATATATTATATTACAATTTTATAAGTCAAGTTATGAAACATTTCCAGTTGTGCAAATAAATCTTCTAGTTCTTTGTACCGGGTGGCCAACTAAGAATGGACGCCGGCTGTATATCAGAAACTACTTATCGTATAACTTTGGGAAAAATATTCTAATAAGTAAATCGACCACGAGAAATCGCTGGAAATTATTTTCAAGTTCGAAAAATTCCCGCTAGGGGGCGTTTCTCTAATATCCAATCAGAAAACAGGGCTTCTCTCAAAAATATGCAGGTGAACAGGTATTTTAAATATTACTGTTGTAATCATCGAGAAATTTGTATTTTTTTTGATATAGAGTATTTTGCTCTATCTCATAAAATAAAGTGGTGGGGGGAAGGTTAACTTGCTTTTCTTAAAATAAGGATAACTCTGGTTTGAGTTACGCGATTTAAACAAACTAGGGCTCGTTTAAAAGAGCTTTTCTTCCTTAAAGATATCCAGTATAAATTTTGTTTCCACAATTTTTTTCGTGGTAGCTAGAGGGCGCTTTTTGACATCATAACAGATATTGCGCTTTTGCCTAAAAAAAATAAATAGGAGGCTATATTTCTCTTTGCACAGTTAAATAGAACACAAAATTTCCAAAATATCAGCGCAAACCGCAACTTTCTATCTTCTCTCTAACCGGAGATATTAAGAGAACAAATCATGTTAGGCTGCTGTTTAGGATTATATGGTCTAAAATTTATAGTAGTAGGCTAGGAAATAAAAAGAGGTAAACTGGTTACGTCAAAATATCAAAACGTTTAAGTTCAGTTTTCATGCATCCGAATTTCGGGCGTTTTCTTAAAAAAAATTACGTCAGAATTATTTAAACGTGTTTATGTAACATTATCATACATCCATATAATTTTTACGAATTTCTTTTGATTAATTATACGTCTCAGATTAAAATGTCCAAAAATCAATAATTTTATTAAAATTTCTACGAATTTTGTGCCGCCATATTGCTTTTAACAGAAAACGGCCGAATTTCGTATGGCCGAAAACTAGGGGTTTATTTCATGTAACGTCATTTAGTTGTTAATCCAAGTTCGTCCTTGATTTCACTTCTTTTCGTGATTTTTTTGTGTTATTTATTATTATATTATAAAGCTTATGTCGTTTGGGTCACTTTTCATATAACACCGAGCGAAGGTGCGAATCTTAACAATATGCACTACTGGTCCAAATCTACCCTTGATGCAAGTAGTTTAGCACCAAGACCGTTGGTTGGTAAATATTTACGCAGGAATTCTAGGATGGCGAATGACTGGATTTTTTTAATTATCTGAATGAAATGAACTATCCATAATTCCTAAGAAATGAATTGCCAATTTTGTTAAGGGATCCATCATGATGAAATTGCATTTGTTGCAAATTCATCAGCATGAATGCAGTTGGTGTAGTTGAGGCAGTGCGGCCGCTTATTTTGCTATGAATATGTGGGGCTTCTTGGATACCACTTACTTTAGTAGATAGAGACGCTAGTGCGGCATATTTCCGTGGCTAGCTAGGTCATCGGATTCAATATGCCTGGGTTTTAATTTATGGAGTCGAATCAAGAACGAACATGGATAAATAATAATTAAATAGGATTAAAATTAAATTAAAATATATGTTTTGATATTTTGATGTAACCAATTTACCTCTTTTTGTTTCCTAGCCTACTACGATAATTTTTCGACCATATAATCCTAAGCGACAGCCGAACATGATTTGTTCTCTTAATATCTCCGGTTAGAGAGAAGATAGAAAGTTGCGGTTTGCGCTGATATTTTGGAAATTTTGTGCGCAATTTAACTGTGCAAAGAGAAATATAGCCTCCTATTTAATTTTTTCACGCAAAAGCGCAATATCTGTTATGATGTCAAAAAGCGCCCTCTAGCTACCACGAAAAAAATTGTGGAAACAAAATTTATACTGGATATTTTTAAGGAAGAAAAGCTCTTTTAAACGAGCCCTAGTTTGTTTAAATCGCGTAACTCAAACCAGAGTTATCCTTATTTTAATAAAAGCAAGTTAACCTTCCCCCCACCACTTTATTTTATGAGATAGAGCAAAATACTCTTTATCAAAAAAAAAATACAAATTTCTCGATGATTACAACAGTACTATTTAAAATACCTGTTCACCTGCATATTTTTGAGAGAAGCCCTGTTTTCTGATTGGATATTAGAGAAACGCCCCCTAACGGGAATTTTTCGAACTTGAAAATAATTTCCAGCGATTTCTCTTTGTCGATTTACTTATTAGAATTTTTTTCCCAATGTTATACGATAAGTAGTTTCTGAGATACAGCCGGCGTCCATTCTGAGTTGGCCACCCGGTACAATTATCAATTTTATGGTATCATCTCGATAAATGAGGGGATTTCAACAGAAAAAATCAAAAATTTGACTGAAATAAACAATTTTCTTTTAAATTAAAATCACAGATCACTGTTTCTGTCATACGTTCTTTCGTTTGAATAGACGAAAAATATCAATTGACTTAGTAACTAACTGTAAGGACCATTAACTTTTTGTGGCCTAGCAAAGTAACTAACATTATTTTTTGTGTCTTGTTTTCTCCAAATTTCACTGTACTTCCCCCACTCCACCGCTAAGACTCCGACGTTTACCATCTGGTTAGCGTCTACCCACCCGATAGCTACGAAGACAACCGCCCTGAGTCCAATGATATCGACAGGCCACCCTTTCATCACCAACAAAAACCCATTCAAAGACCGCAACAAGAACAAGATTTTAGACCTGGCAGGCCTAAACCAAATCTGAGCGGTTATCCAGTGAGTCTGTACATTAACAACAGGCCTGTGACGCAGCACGGTGCTGTGGGTGTGTCTGGTGATGGATATGAGAGTGAAGAAAATGATAATTATGATTATCATGGTCAGCAGGGGTCAGGAGGTCAGGGTTTTATTGAGCCCTATGGCAACATTGGTAACTAACTGTGTTTTTCGGCAATTTTTAACTTAATAGCTTTTCTGTAGGCACTATAGGAATGTCACGACTGTCGGAGTTTGCACCATTTTCTAGCACGTCAACATTATATTTTCTGGGACTGACTTCTACGGGGTGAGCTACTGTTTTGAAAAAGGTCTATAGTTATAAGGTTTCCTGCCTGGGATTTTCTTTTATTACTTATTTTAGTTCTCACTGAATTGCAGGATAATAATTAGTTGAAATTTATTTTCATAATGAAGTTAGAGTTATTGCTGTATACAGGGTGGCGCACCTTATTCGCCATTTAATTGCCATTTTATTGAAAAATCGCTTTTTATTCAAAATCTGAGCTATTATAGATTATAGATAGATATGGGAAACCCTAATATAGTTTAAAAGAGCCATTTAAATCTGCTTCGATTTATCCTAAAATATACAGGGTGTTGCATTGGAAAACAAAGCTTGGCTACGTTCCATGTAAAAAATCGTCTGTCCATTGGCTGTGTCCTAAATATTTTAGTTAAAATCCCAACCAGGAAATATAATATGAATCTTTTTCAGAACTGTCGGTCAACCTGATGTTGGAAAAAATAAATTCTTGTTTGAATAAATACACCAGGTATATGTTTTTCAGGCACATTCTCCTCACCTTTTTACTTCTGCTACTGAAAAATGATTAAAAAATCACACCAAGCATTCTTCTGGGGGACAAATCAAACATATTTACTTTTATACTAATGTAGGCATTGTTTATTGTTGCAGGTTGTGGAGAATTACACACAAGATCCAATAGGATAGTCGGTGGACATTCTACAGGTTTCGGATCCCATCCTTGGCAAGTCGCATTGATTAAAACAGGATTTTTGTCAAAAAAATTGGCTTGTGGTGGAGCACTGCTCAACGAAAGGTGGATCATAACCGCAGCTCATTGTGTAGCTACGTAAGTATTGAGAAAATTGACTGTACGTCTGTGGCGTGCATATAATTTAGGCGAAAAGGCTAAAAAGTTTGTCTGCTCTAAAGAAAAGGTTGCGACGTGACTATGATAAACTATAATGAACTAACTATACAGGGTGAGTTTCCTACGATGTTCTCTATGGGTATCTCAGAAACTACTGGAGATAGAGAGTCGGTTAGGTTAGGTTAGGTTGGGGAAAGAATTGCAGTTTTGTGGGGTCATAAATATGCGCTTTCAGATTTTCGAAAAAGTTCATGGCTTACTAGATATTTCGAAAAAAACAAATTTCGGCTATTTTAAAATTCCCTAATTCTATTATAATCTATTTTAGACAAAAAATTTTCAGATAAAAGTTGTAGGTTTATCACATCCTTAATGAGATTGTGTTCTCCGCTTTTTTCTAAAGCCTGTAATTTTTGACATATGATACAAACTCATGTTTTTTTTAAAATGGAAACCATAGTTAGCCATGACTTCATATAAAAAACGCCATTTTTTAAGCTTTTCAGCGATATAGATAAGCTATAATATATTTTTTTTGCAAAAATTACTAAGTTATAGCGAATTCTTATAATTTTTAAACAATTTCACTTAGTTAGCCATGGAAACAAGTTCAATCGTCTTTGCTTTCAGAAATGTCAAACTGTCACATCCAAACTTTATAAATTAAAATATCCAAAAATTGTAAATATGAGTTTTTCAAATGAAGAAAAGCGTGTAGCTTTATTGGTTCAACTTTTCTTGGCCATACATTTTCGAGGATACGTTACATACGCTGTTTAGAGAACGGGTTTCAAGACATGTTAGAAAAGTTAAATTTAGAGGCTCTCGCATCAATAGAGTCGTTCCAACATGACTTTCATTACGATACTCTCCCCATAATGAAAGAAATGTTAAAAATTATTTATATCATAATTATTCAAACTCAGGGATACGAAGAAGTGGACTAATTGCATGGGTCTCTTCGATCACCTGACCTATCCATTTTAGATTTTATGCGGTATATTTTTTGAGCATTTTCTAAAATAACTTAAAGTGTATGTAGAGATATTTTTTTAAGTTTTAGTTTGTGTAATGTGAAAACACTAAATCACCACAATACACCAGTTTATCATCTGCTGATGATGCTAACATGGTTAGCGAAACGCGCGTCCAGTGTAAAAGTAAAAGTGTTTTGGTGTATTGTGGTGATTTAGTGTTTTTATTTTGCTATGTAACACCAAAGGTTCCAACGCTCAACTGTAATTGTGTAATGTAAATTGTAAAGAACCGTTTAATAAAATATTCTGTTTTTTTTATAAGTTATAAATTATGCTAACTAAGTGAAATTAGTCAAGAAAGATAAGAATTGGCTAAAACTCAGAAATTTCGCAAAAAAAACATATTATAGCTTATATTGCTGAAAAGCTTAAAAAATGGCGCTTTTATGAATTCATGGCCAACTATGGTTTCCATTTAAAAAACATAAGTTTGTGTCATACTCGTATGTCAAAAATGACAGGCTTTAGAAAAAAACGGAAAACACAGTCTCATTAAGGATGTGATTATTTACAACTTTTATCTGAAAACTTTTTGTCTAAAATAGATTTTAATGGAATTACGGACCATTTTTAAAATAGCCGAAATTTGTTTTTTTCGAAATATCTAGTAAGCCATGAACTTTTTCAAAAATCTGAAAGGCGCATATTTATGACCCCACAAAACTGCAATTCTTTCCCGATTTAACCGACCCTCTATCTCCAGTAGTTTCCGAGATACCCATAGAGAACATCGTAGAAAACTCACCCTGTATAAAAAATGACCATATGTCAGTGGCGTGCATGTAATTTAGGCGAAAAGGCTAAAAAGGATGTCTATTCTAAAGAAAAGGTTTGGTTTGGTCCTAGACAAAATTATAAAATCTTGATTTTTCATACCATTACATTATAACTCAACTCATTATTTGTATAATGTTTTGTATTATCTTTTGTTTGTTTGTTTGTGTACCTTGTTTTTTTACTTTGTTTGTTAGTTTACCTTTGTCTACAAATTGAAAAATTTTTTGACAATAAAGGCATTTATTTATTTATTATTCATCATTATTTTTTCAGTTTATTCAACCATCAATTGGTTATATATATATATATATTATTGGTTATTTATACGAGCCCTAACAACTATATGTTGGGATAAGGTCATATTTTGGAATTATTGCCCTGGTTTTTCAAAATGACTGAAAAATATATGTTTAATTTTTTAAATATAAACATAGCCATATATCCTAAACAACTTGACAATATTTTTATGAATTTGTAAATCAATCCATATTTACAGTAGCGGATTTTGTTCATAAAAGGACAAATTTGCCTGACAACTAAATGTTGGGACAAGTATTTTTAAATAATTAATATCATAGGCGGCTTTGCTATGTTTACTTCAGCATTGACAGCTTGTAAGTGACTCGATACTTTGAGTAGTGAGACTTACTGTAAATAATTTTAATTTTTTTAATTTTCAACTTTGTTAATTTAATCCAAAGTAATGGTCCGTGGAAAAGCTACAAATCAAAAACTACGCGACATTATCATTCGTCAATACAGTACGGGAAAAACAATTCGAAAAATTTCTGATGATTTAAGTATTCCAAAAACCACGGTCTTTAATATAATAAAAAAATACGGCGAATCTGCCAGTGTAGGCGTTAGAGGTAAAAGTTCGGGAAGGCCAAAAGTTGTATCTCAGAGAGATTTACGAAATTTAGTAAAAATTTGCAAGTCTGCGAGAAGAAGTACTCTTCGCGAAGTAACAGTTAAATGGAATACTGTAACTGGATTAAATATATCAAGAGAATGTTGCCGAAAATATATCCATAAATGCGGTCTGGGGTTTTACAAGGTAAACTTTATTTTATGTGGTTAATCAATTACCTGAAGATTATTGATACAAATTCTTATTTAGGCCAAAGAAAAACCGCTACTGACAGAAATTTAAAAGAAAAATCGCTACAATTGGGCAAAATCTAAATTATCGTGGATACAAAATGATTGGAATAAGGTCATATTTAGCGATGAGGCTAAATTTTATGTTTGCGTTGGAGATCATCGAATAAGAATAATACGAAATAAAGCAGAAGCCTTTCATAAAGATTGCTTAAAGAGGGTTGTTAAATTTCCTAAGGGGATTATGCTTTGGGGTTGCATGTCAGCAAGAGGTTTGGGCAAATTAAATTTTATAGATGGCACTGTTAACGCCCAAAAATATCAACATATACTTGAGACTTCACTTTTGCCTAGTGCTCAAGAATTGTTTCCAAACGAAGACTATATTTTTCAACGAGATGGAGCATCAGCAAAGTGCCATTCAGCAAAATCAACTAAAAATTGGTTCGGTAATAATAATATAAAAGTTCTATCCTATCCTGCAAATAGTCCGGACGTCGATGTTATAGAAACTGTGTGGCATAAAATGAAGCAATATTTAAGAAACCACCCTCAACGCACAATTTCTGATTTGCGGACAAAACTGCAGGAAATTTGGGATAATTTTTCTCCTCAAATGTGCCAATCTTTGGTAAATACAATGCCATTAAGAGTTCAGACAGTTGTTAAGGCGAAAGGTAATGTAACTCCGTATTAAACAAATTTCTTGTTGTGCTGTCCCAATATATAGTTGTCAGCAAATTTGGCTTGATTTTGGTAAAATAAGCTATTATCAAAAGTGATTTGTTTGCAAAGTTATAAAAATATAGTAAAATTGTCTAGATCATATTGTAATGTTTGAATTTAGAACAATAAACAAAATAAATTGAGTCGTTTTAACAAATTACTATTTTTATTGCAAAAAAAGACCTTGTCCCAACATATAGTTGTTAGGGTTCGTATATCAATTTTCATCCAAATATTGACGTTACTTCAGAAATTATTTGAAAAGAAAATCGAAATAAAAATGAAACTTCTATACACCCTGTATCTCCAAAACTAAGCATTTAGGACATCCGTTTATACGAACTTTTTTACTTAATTTTATCGGCAGAATATGCTGCCGAACTTACCGGAATATAGTTCGGATCACCCTGTATAAACCCATCCATAGTTAACTTTTTTTAGTGAATTACATGCATTGGTATGGACGCTATCTTCCTCTTTTCTATCATCGTCTGTGGAAATCTTACCTAAATATAGTTCTTTTTTCTTTCGACCATAATTAATTTATCAACAACTTTAACGCCTTTAAAATTACTTCCTCAAAATTACTCGCCTAGAGTTATCCAACAAAAATACGCCGCGGACTTTCGGATAACTCGCCTAACTCGATTTCCAGTTCGAGACCTTTTCGCCTTTTTGTCTGGAACGGGCCAAAGGGGGAAACCTGGAAAATCTAATTTCCTTTAATTTACAGGACCGGCAACAGCAACATTCGCATACGACTGGGCGAATGGGACGTACGCGACCAGAATGAGAAGCTCAATTATGAGGAATACACGGTAAGATGAATTAAAGGCATATGTGTGGGGGTAGTTGTTTATACAGTATGTCCCCGGATTCTCTTTAAAAGAACAACAACCTAATTTTAAAATTTTTTAACACCCTGTAAATCTAAAACTATGCATTTGTATACCCGTGTTTATAGGAACTTTTTTTCATATTTTTTGACGAGGATTGCTATTAGCACAGATTATACAGATTATAATCTTTGTTTTTTCTTTATTGTTTTTCGTGGTTCCAATTTTCGGAATCGGGCACTAGTTAGGTGACTAGTTTGCGCACATAGCACGCCCACTTAAGGCCTCTAAAATTGTGCACAGCGCCTGACCGGCACAGTTATTAGAGAGATATCGGAAAATCGAATAGCGTCATCCAGTATTTACGTGTACCTTATCATGGTTACGATATGCGCGAGTCAATTTTTAACGCAACATCCCCTAATAACGTTACCGCCTGACGTAATTTGCGGATCAATTAGACCAAGCGCTCTTTCTAAATAACCTCTGATAACGTTTAAAAATTGCTTAAATGGGCATCTGCGGGTGAATTGTTCTGAATTATTGCTTTAGTTTTATTAGGTAATTTGATATTTAAGTAGCTGGGATTAGTTTTAATTAAATAAATATGGCCCAAAATATGGATTCCACCTCTTCCAATACTAAAGAACCTATAAAGAGTCTTAGGTTTACAGCAGATGACGACTTAGTCCTTCTAAGAGAATTTGTAGCTTGTTGCCCTAAACCCACTAGCAGACGTTGAACAATAAAGCACTGGAAATAAGCACTTTAGCCCTTTAGTTTGAAAATACCTAGTAAACAAAACAATTTCAAAGTTTTAAATTCAAAGTTAGGTTAAGTTTAAATAGCGGACGCGACGCGATCAGAATTCTTTCCGATCGGATAACTATAATTGAAGAGAGTTAATACCACCTCACGTAAAGGAAATAACACGTGGCCTTATTAACGTCCATGCACGTCTATTCGGTTTAGCGATATCTCTCTATTACGCTGTTTATTGTTATTTTACGCGAGTTTATTTTTGCGCACAGGAAATTTGACTCGTTTGCACATCGTCATAAAAAACAATTTTCGTACCACGAATTAGGGACAAGATTTTTATCTGTATACTTATAGGATACCTAATGTGTGCTATTTGACTTGGTAAATTAATAAAATTCTGTTCAAAATCTCATCAAGGAGGCCGAAATCGACAAAATATCAAGACGCAACTTTTATTCGGCATTAAATTGCTTACACTATTTCGCTAATAAGAGAAAAAAGTCAGTAGTGTACTTTTTAGAAAAATATTCCAGTGATAACCCATACGCACGTCCCTGTTGAATATGTCGTTATTTTTTAGCTTTAAAATATGTTACACTTTAGTAAATTTTATCCTCAAAATTTCATTCGAGATGCTAAAAGCACTTGGAAGAAAATTATAATGAATCGAAAAAATATTAAGACTTTGTCACCCTGTAGCTACGAAACAAAGCAGAATCGGACCTATGTTGATATGAAAAATAAATCTTATTTTTACGTGAGGAATCTCCTCACGAGAGATGACACATATTTTTTGAAACACCCTGTATAGATGGTTGAATTTTTTCAAAGTCCTGAAAATCAAATTTCAAAAAAAGGAATTTTTTTATGAAGAATGCATTTTTCTCAAAATATCAGTAATAAAAAAGTTTTTCCTCTTATAAATCAATCAGGGAATATACTGTATATTAAATATATAGGGTGTGCCAGAAAAGTTTGCTACAAGTTGAAAAAAAGTATTACTGAGTTTTTAAAAAAAGTAGATGTGTAATTTCTTCAGTCTACCTACCGGGTGCGTTTGAAAAGTTTTTTTTCAAAAGTATGACATAAATTAGGATTGATAGACGTATTCAATGATTTTTTATCACTTCCTGTTTCACCGGAAATGACTTCAACTTTTGAATTCTAAATGACACCCTAGGTATTTTTTTTCTCTATTCGATTGAAAATGACACTCTCAATCGAATCATATATAAAATCTAAAAAAATATTATATGTCAACTTTTGACATTTTTGCATTTGGTTTATTTGAAATTATAATAGGCACTTCATAACGACAATTTGACTGGAAATACCAAGAGCGTGGTTCCAAATTATTCGTAAAAAATGCTTTTTTCCAAATATGCTAATGAGCTACACTTGCTCAATTTAAAAAAAATTGAGATATGATTAAAAATACGATTTGGGCGAATCTTTTAAGCATCTAGAACAAGACACGATTAGACGATCTAGTCTATTTTTCTAAGGCTCCTTAAAAATTAGTGTGCTTAACACAGCCAATGGCACTCTATAGATTGAAATTTAAAATACGATTTTTTTAAAGTGATTTCAAAAGGTGACATATGATATACTATTTTATATAGAGTGTCATTTTCTATCGAATAAAGTAAAAAAATACCGAGGATGCCATTTAAAAATCAAAAGTTGTAGTCATTTCCGGTGAAACAGGAAGTGACCAAAAACAATTGAATACGTAAATCAATCCTAGTTTATGTCATATACTAACATACCAAGTCTCGTTTTTTTTTGGGTGAGCCACTTTTGAGACGAACCCGGTAAACTTATGGAAGGGTAGACAGTCTGTGCTTTCAGTCAGCATTTAATAATCATTATCAAAGATCAAGCAAGATCTTTATCTACCTACCACACGCTCAGAGTTAGTTAAAAGTTCAATATTATACAACTCGAAAAAAATGCACAATCACCTGTCATTTGAAATCAATTTTCTTCATTTTTTAACAATATTTTTTATTTAAAAAACGGTCAAAGTTTCCGAAAAAACGCTTAAACGCGTATATTTTATTTTGTTTTTTACATATTTTAAATTTTTTAAAAATGTGTACAGGGTGTTTCGAAAAATCTGGTCATTGATTAATTACGATCCTGCTTAAAGCGCTTGACGTAAAAAGCTGATTTTTGGAAAACAGATTGACTTTAGGGTGTAGAGGTTCGATGAGAAGGGATTTTTCGAAACTCGAATTCTAAGGGGGTGAAACTATCCCTCAAATATTAAAATATTTTTTATTTAAAAACCGGTGAGTTTTTCGAAAAAACTCTTAAACACGTATATTTTATTTTGTTGTTTTACATATTTTAAGATTTTTTATAAATTTATACAGGGTGTTTCATAAAATATGACCATTGAGTAATCACGATTCTGCCTAAACTGCTTGACGTTTAAAGCTGATTTTTGGCAAACGGATTGACTGTGGGGTGTAGATTTTCGATAAGGAGGGGTTTCTCGAACCTCAAATTCCAAGAGGGTGAAAACGCCCCTCAAATATTACAATATTTGTTATTTTAAAAACGGTTAGTCTTTCGGGAAAACGCTTGGACAAGCATAATTTATCTGGTTTTTTTACATATTTTGAAATTTTTTAAAAAATCATACAGGGTGTTCCAAAAAGTTGGGTAATTGATTAACCACGATTATGCTTAAACTGCTTGACGTAAAAAGCTTATTTTTGGCAAACGGATTTTTCGAAAGTCAAATTCCAACGAGATGAAACTACCCCTCAAATATTACCAAGTTATATAATAATATCGCCATATTGTTTTTTCTCATGCCGACATAAATGTGAGAAAATTTTATCCAGTTTGTATGTTAATGGAAATTCTTGCTTTGCTTTATCATCACCATTACAAATGATTAATTCGATGCGAACGAAGTCGCTGGTACACGCTAGTGACTTATATTTTGATAATCGAATTTGATCTTGTAAACACTGGTCTAATATTTGCTATTACTATATTTACCAATGACATGGAAATAAATTTATTTAGAGGTAATTGATATTTACTATAAACCGAGCTATAAACTTACTAGATATTTTTGAATCTTATTTTTATTTTTTTATTTTTTGACATTGTAAACATTTATAAACGTTTATTTTAAACAATAAGACTGACAATGTAATTTGTATAATGTTTTAATATTCTCTTTTGTTTGTTTACTTTACCTTTGTCTACAAATTGTCAAATTTTTTGACAATAAAGGCATTTATTTATTAATTACTGTGCTTTTTTTTTCTTCTAGGTTGAAAGAAAGGAAGTGCACCCGGCTTATTCACCGTCGGACTTTAAAAATGACGTAGCATTAGTAAAATTGGACCGCAAAGTGAGATTTCGACAGCATATCATTCCAGTATGCTTGCCTTCACCTACGGTAAGTAATAGGACTTTATATTAATTATAGAGCTGAGACTAGAATATAGAATAATAGCTGGCAAATATACCATTGGCGCAGACAACAAATTGTGGCCAAATAAATCTAAAATTTTATGTAACATCCATAGATAGTCAACAGCAGGGTTGGCATGATTTAAATCAAATGATTTAAATCAAGTGATTTTTTTAATTTTAATCATGTGATTTAAATCAGAATTTTTTTTTATTGAAACTTTATTATAAATCAAAAAACAACTGTAAAAGTTATAAAAATGTGTCCTAGAAAACTATAAAAAATATTTCTGTAACAGATATAACAGATAATACATCGAAAAATAATTGTAAATGTTATAAAACTATATAAAAATATCTATTCATCAATTTAATTGTTTTACCGATTTTTAAACTAATTTCGTGTGAATCCATTAGACCGCTAAACCCAGGGATTTATTTTAAAATTTATGTATAAGCCTTGTATAAGTGACAAAAATTCGCTGTTCGAATACATATCATTCGCAAAGTCTAGTGCAGAACTAGGTTCTTCTGATATAGAGACCATATATATCTTCATTCACGAGAATCTATAATCGTTGTCACAGAAAATACGTTGTTTTATATTTTTTTGAAACGGTTGTATGTTTTCAAATTCCTACCGACATCGACATTTTGATCTGCAGTAAGCACTTTATACTTTGACATTAGATAATACATACTAATATCATTCTTGACTTAAGACTATTTCCGAACAATAGTGTATTGTTTTATTAGGAGTAAAAATTATACTTTTTTGACGATGCTGTACCTTTGAAGGACCACTCGTTGAATTTGACGCTTAATATCAGTTTAATAATATATTTTTGTACTTTTGTGCTTAGGCGTAACAGTGCTTTACTTTTAATACAAGTTTTGAAGCTACAGGGGGTTAAATTATTTTTATTTCGATTTATTTTATTTGTTTATACAGAATTTTAGTTTTTTAAAGTTAGTAAATTAAAAAATATATTAAAATTCGGCGATGTATGTCAACGACGTTTTTTAAGGAGAGAAATTTTGTTGGTTTTCGCCAGCCGGTATACATATCGCAATAAAAAAAATATCTACGTCCTGTTCGTATAGTAATAATAATTGTCAGCTATTAACATTAATTGTAAATGAAAGGACATATAAGTCGAACATTAAACAGTGGTTTTAAAGTAATATGGCGAAATCGGGTCTCGAGTATTGTTGTTGTTCATATCTTTTTTTGTTAAAAAAAAACAATCCACAATACACACAGCGTTGGTTTTAATTCTATTATCCTATCTGTAATAACAGTTATAGTTTTCAATTAAGTATTTGGTCTTTAAGTCGTTTTCAAAATTACACTAACATAACGGCACGAAAACCGGCCACCTTAAAATTTTCAAGTATTTTAAACTTTAATATATTTTGTTCTAATAGGTCGATTTTGATGATTTTTTAAGCGATTTGTTGCTAAATTATTGGACTTTTTAGTATCCCTTTCTAAATTAAAAATGAAAGTTTCCATCTGTCAATTATACGAGGGAAAACTAAATGTTGATATTGTGGTGAAAGTTTCAAACACCCTGTGGAATAAGTTAACAAAGCAAGTAATTTAAAAATAATTTTATCACCTAGGTACGTTTTTTCTCGATACTCTGTTTTTTGATGCATCTCAATAGCTTTATTTTTATTGAAGATATTCTCTTTCGAATAAGACAGTAACGATTTTAACGCAATTTTAGCATTGATTTTGAGTTTTCATCAACACACCTACAAAGTAGTGTTTATTGTTTTTGTAATGTCACCCTCATTGAAAAGTCAAATTATTATTGTTTATTGGCGTTGGCTCTAGTAGAGATGGTTTTAAATTCTAAAGTATCCGCTGTTGCTGCTTTAATTGATCATGGCAGAGATCAACTTTTGTACTTAAAACCATATCTGCTAGAGTAACTGCCCAACAGTCAATAATAATATTATTTGTCCACGACCACTTAATAATAAATCAATATTCTACTTCCTAGCTGAAGGAATATGGTGCCCACCCAACAAGCAAAATTTATTGCTGGAACATTGCCAAAACTTTGCAAAGCAAGGTGTAACATTGCTTTTTTTATTGTAGGGAGGTTTATGCAAGGTGGCGCGTTAGCTTAATCTTCCGCCAAATAACATTGCAGTGCAACGTTGAAAAAAATGTTGTTGGTTTTTATTGAAACCGGTATACATATCGCAATAAAGATTATCTACGTCTTGTTCGTATAGTAATAATAATTGAGAGCTATTAACATTAATTGTAAATGAAAGGACACATACAATATCGAACATTAAACACCTATGTTTCAAAACTTATTGCGAATTCGGGTCTCGGTATTGTTGTTGTTATTATCTTTTTTGTTAAAAAAACAATATAGCAATACACATAGATTGGTTTCGCAATAATTAACCATTTCATAATAACAGAAATAGTTTTTAAATTTAGTATTTGGTCTTTAAGTCGTTTTCAAAACGACGAAAATAGCAATTTTATGTAGAAACAATAAAACATTTTATAGGTATATGTGGGCAATATGCATAAAACTCACCGATTTGAAATATACAGGGTGTCTCAGAACTAAGATCCATACCATTTTTATATTTTTCTTATGGAACACGCGGTATAATATTTCATTTTAGATAATAACGTATTGCAGTAGAGTAATGTCAAATAAAATAATATTAGGAACATCCTAAAAGTAACAGCGGTTAGATATGTTTAAAATCTTTGGTTTTTTGAGATATTTAAAGATATTTAAATATGCATTTTACTAAAGAATGGTATTATTAGCACCCTGTACATTACTTTTTCAGGAATTAATGTCGTGCTGAGTTTAAAGGTTCCAAAATGAACTTTAAAATAAAATATTATAGTTGCTTAAATGCGATACAGGGTACCATAAAACTGATGATCTATTTTTAAAGATTTATTTTAAATAAAACTTTGTTATTTCAAATGCAATACCCTAATTTTTTTAAATAAATCGAAATACAAATTCAAATGCTCTTTCAAACTATATTAGGGTTATAATGGCCGGGACTATCTCAGATTTTGAATAAAAAGCGATTTTTAAATAAAATGGCAATCAAGATAATTGGTATCGCCATGGCATATTTTAAAATGTGACAGTTAGTTATTATTTATTCTTTTAAAAAAGTTGAAGATTTATTAAAACTTCATTCATAATTTCAATAATTTTAATTTAACAATGAAATTATCCGTTAGCCATTGAAAGAATATTGCAGAGGTTAATTAATCAACTAAAGTCAATCAACTATAATTAATTAATTTCATTGTTTACAACAGAATTCAATCTCTTTGTTGGCTTTAGTTTCCATCATCTCAACTAAATAATAAAAGCCTGAGTTGGATATACAGGGTGTCCCATTTTTGTTGAAATCATACCGTATCTCCGTTATTAATCAAGATAGAAGATTACAGTTGAGGGTTGGAACCTTTGGTGTTACACAGCAAAATAAAAACACTAAATCACCACAATACACCAAAACACTTTTACTTTTACACTGGATTCGCGTTTCGCTAACCATGTTAGCATCATCAGCAGATGATTATAAACTAAAGTACAATCTACAAGTTGAGCGTTTATATACACGCTCAGTGGGCAACGAGTGGGCGTGGCAAAATCTAGCCAACCGAGTCAGAGCCAACTGAGCGTAACAGTTAGATTTCCGCCACTAGAGTAGTAGGAACAAAGAACTTGAAGGAATTGGACCGTTGACTCTGTTCATACTATCTTTACATTTATTAATTCTGATGCTTTCATATGCATCTAATTACCTGTAATTTGAGACTTGTTTAATTAATTTTAAATTATTAAGATCTATACAATGTTCATTATCAACAATATGTTCGGCAACGCAAGATTTATCCGGTCTACCGTATCTTATCTGAGCTAAATGTTCTTTAAATCTAGTTAATATTGATCTTCTAGTTTGCCCAATATATTTCTGATTACAATCTTTACAAGAAATTTCATAAATACCCGACCTTTCCAGTGGAGGTGTTTTATCCTTTGTATTGCCTAATAATTGTTGTAATTTATTATTAGCACTATACACAAGTTTATAATTGACATTCTTAAAAATTACTTTTAGACCACAGGATAACTCTCTATCAAACGGTATCGAAAAATATTTAGACGTATCTTCCTCCACTTGAAAAGTCGAATTTTCAGGAAATCATTAAGCTATACCTACGTTTTCTAATTAATTTATCAACTAGTGAAGGAGAATATCCATTACACTCAGCTACATTCCTAATGTAATCTCTTTCTATTTCATTTCTTTCGTTGGAAAGTGGGAAACTAAGTAATCTATGAACTAAGAAATTTAAACTAGCCATTTTATGTTCAACACTATGATGTGATTCATTAGGAATATATCAGCGTGTGGTATTTTTCCTATAGATATCAAATTCCACGCAATTATTAGTATTTCTAATAACTAATACATCTAGAAATGGTAATCTGTCGTTGTTCTCAATTTCATGCGTAAATTTAATGGAAGGAAAACGATTATTTAACTTAGAAATAAAATTATCTATGGTGTCTCAATGTGTGTCAAAAACAACAAAAATATCATCCACATACCTAACCCATACTCTTGGAAAATACTTAAACTGATTCTTAGCTTCCACTTCAAACCTGCTCATGAATAAATTAGCCAAAAATGGAGACAATGGATTACCCATTGCTGTACCTTCCCGCTGTTCAAAAAAGTTGTTATTAAATTGAAAACAATTTTGTTTCATACATAACGATGTAAGCTCAATATATTCACTCACAGTTTTGTTGTCGAGACCATTTGCGTTCAGTAATTCCTTTAAGTAGCCTAAAGTATGTGGAATTGGAACACTTAGGTACATACACAAGATAGAAGCTTTGATAGAACGGTGCGGTTTGCACAAAAATTTTTATTTGGGACTGAAAATTTAAGAAATACATTTAAGGTTTACACTTTTTTACAGATGAAACTGCCAGGTAAAATGGCAACTGTAGCAGGTTGGGGTCGTACGAGACACGGTCAAGCCACGGTACCTTCAACCCTCCAAGAAGTCGACGTGGAGGTGATTCCAAATGAGAGATGTCAAAAGTGGTTCAGATCGGCCGGCCGGCGCGAAATCATACACGATGTGTTTCTATGTGCGGGCTATAAAGAGGTATTATTTACTATACAGGGTGGTCGAAATTAGTTTTAACAGAGGAAACCTATTTCCTGACTAGATAGAGTAAAACCGACGTAGATGTCATGGGCTCGATTTCTGACATACTTTTAATGGCGGAAACCGCTTGTTGATATTTTCACCATATTTTCACTGCCAACAGAGATACTTTGAAGTTTTCTGAATCTTGATTTTTTTTTCTTTCTGAACTTTGAATTTTTTACCATTTTACCAATTTTTGTTTTTGGTCACTTCCTGTTTCACCGGAAATTACTACCTACAACTTTTGATTTTTAAATGGCACCCTCGATGGCATCCTCGGTATATTTCTACTTTATGACATATGTCATCTTTTGATATTTTCGATTAAAAATATGATTTTGGCATCTTTTGGACCGGCCACGACAAGACATGAAAAACATTAGACGATTAAATCTATTTTTCCAAGGCTCCTTGTTTAAAAATTAGAGTTTTTAACAGAGCCATGGCACTCTAGATTTAAATTTAAAATATAAAGCTTTTTGAACGAAAATGTCAAAAGTTGGTATATGATATGTCGTTCTACTTAGAGTGTCATTTTCTATCGAATAAAGATAAAGTAGAAATATACCGAGGTGCCATTTAAAAATCAGAAATTTTAGTCATTTCCGGTGAAACTGGAAGTGGCCAAAAACAATTGAATAGTCAATCCTAATAATTTATGTCATATACTAACATACCAAATGTCGTTTTTATGTAAAAAAATAAAAAAGTTATAGGGGAGAGTAAATTTCGAGACGCACACGGTATACAAAAAACAAAAACCGCAGATTAAGATTGAAAGAAGAGAAGAATTTTAAAAAGAAGTAGAGAAGAAGAAAGAAAGAGAAAAGAAGTATCTTTAAGTGAAAATTTATTGTTAAAGTAGCATAAATATGCTTAGTTGTAAAGTACTGCAAGAAAAAGAGAATTATAATAACTATTGGGGGGGGTCTCAATATTTGCCTGAATGTCATTATTCACTAAATCAATAAAAAATTGAATGGTTTCCTGTCGATATTTTTCTTGACAAAATGGTGAATTAATTTTTTTTAATAAATTATTTTAATCATGTATTACTTTTTTTCTTTAGGGTGGCAGAGATAGCTGTCAAGGCGACTCGGGAGGGCCCTTAACCCTTTCGGTGGATGGAAGAAAAACCCTTATAGGACTGGTATCCTGGGGAATAGGCTGTGGAAGGGAAAAACTACCGGGAGTGTACACGAATATTCAAAAATTCGTTCCTTGGATTGACAAAGTTATGCAACCTTAAAAACACCAGCAACCAGTGATGACCGAAAATGTTTATTTAAGAATTAAGTAATAGTGTCGAGTGTCAAAACCAAAACAAACAAATGGACCCATTTTCGTTATGACAGCTGGATTAAAAGATTTAATAACTTCATAGAAAAGTTTAATTTTTATACAGGTTGATTCGGGGTAAGACATTTGTGGCTAACCGGTGACATATTTTTATTGAAAATTTGGATTCTTATATACGTATACATATTATACAGGGTGCTACAAATTCGAGGTACGAGCATTGGTATCTCGGTAACCGTAATAGATACGAACATGATTAAATTGAGGCAAAGTTGCGCTTTAGGATGTTCACCAAGATGCCATCAAAAAAGTTTTAAAAATTTCAAGGATTGCTGAGTTTTTTGGAAAAAACGGATTTTTTTGAAAATCAATTTTATTTTTTCCTGCCGTTACTTTTTAGAAAATCAAAAAACTAATTGCACATTCTCATAGCCACTTTATTAGAGCTATCTGATGGTATTTTTAGATTTTCAAATTAGCTGATAATTTGTGAGATACAGAGGCAAACTTATTTTTTTTAAATACGGACCTGCATTTTTTATTTCAGGTTTTGAAAGAACTTGGTCTCCTGAGTACAATGGTATGCCACACTTGATACTTTTTTTTGTTTTGGGTACCTTAACAGTAACAAAACTATTTAACTGTTATTTAAAATAATTCCAAATCCGGCTCTGGTTTTTTAATTTATTTAATCTGATTATATTCATCACAACAATATTGATCAGTGCTAATTAATATTGAATAAGGGAAATCAATAAAAATTGTTTTGGACATTTGAAATCAATACATTTCAAGATTAAGAGTACAAAAACAATTAACGAGTAATAGAAAATAATTAGAGTACAAAATGCTTTCGGAAGTATAAGAAAAAGATCTGTTCAAAGAGTTATAAATAAGATTGAACGAAAAACAAATGTGTGCATTATGGAGAGTGGTAACCCTTTCGAACATGCAGAGCATTAGAAACTAGTTTACAGAAGTTGATTTATTTATAATAACTACGATTAATATTATGCATATTAATTATTAGATCGTACACTGAGATTTCAAATTGACAGTAAAAAAAGTTAAAAATAGTAGATATCTTTAAATCGCTGACCTGGATATTAATTATTTGAGTCAATTGGCGTGATTTTCATTATTCAATATTAATTAGCGCTGATCAATATTGTGGTGCTAAATATAATCAGATTAAATAAATTAAAAAACCAGAGTCGGACTTCAAATTGTTTTAAATGACGGTTAAATAGTTTTGTTACTGTTAAGGTACCCAAAACAAAAAAAAGTATCAAGTGTGGCATATCATTGTACTCAGGAGACCAAGTTCTTTCAAAACCTGAAATAAAAAATGCAGGTCCGTATTTAAAAAAATTAAGTGGGGCTCTGTATCTCACAAATTATCAGCTAATTTGAAAATCTAAAAATACCATCAGATAACCCTAATAAAGTGGTTATAAGAAAGTGCATTTAGTTTTTTGATTTTCTAAAAAGTAACGACAGGAAAAAATAAAATTTGTTTTCAAAAAAATCCATTTTTTTCCAAAAAACTCAGCAATCCTTGAAATTTTTAAAACTTTTTTGATGGCATCTTGATAAACATGCCAAGGAGCAACTCTGTCCCAATTTAACCATCTTCGTATCTATTACGGTTTCCGAGATACCAATGCTCGTACCTCGAATTTGTAGCACCCTGTATATACAAAATAAAACAATAATTCACCACAATACACTAAAACACTTCATTTTTGCACTAAGCGCGCGTCTCGCTAATTAAAATGCATATTGAAGGTTGGAATAATTATACCGGGTGTTTCATATAAAATAAAAAAGTCTTAATATTTTTTAAATGAGAAGGCAATACCGTAATTCTGAAAATAATAATTTATATTGATGGAACATGAATTCAAGTTAATCAAAAAATCTTACCATTCATTTCCCATGAATGTCTAACCTACCAACACCGCGAATCACCCTGTATATAGTATCAGATGTCAGACATACCGTCAAAGAAAATTTTGAATTTTATTTTTATTAATTATTTATTTGCTACTTCATCTTGTTTTTGATGTTATGGTTCGAAAGTTCATAAATTATCATACAGGGTGTTCTAATATTCCGTGGACATAGAACTATTACGTATTTTTCGAAGCAGAATAAAGTGCTTTGTTTGTCCACAATTATTCTACAAAAAGCAAAACATTAAAAATAATAGAAAGTATAATTTTTGACACTAAATCAATCTCATTTTATATGTATGTCTATAAATATCAATTTATTTAAAAATAAAAACAAAGTTTATAATAGAGGACAGTGCCAATGACTACCGTGTCTCAACATGGATTTGTTTATAAAATATAAATATAAATAATTTTAACATAATATAAACAAAGCTCTGATTTATTATTTAAACAATTTTAATAATTATATTAACTAGACCAAATATATTGAATAGCAACGTATAAAGAACTATACAATATGTAAATCTGTATCAGATACTTTTATAATCTTTTTTTTGTACATGATTGTATTTGTTATATTTCTATTTATTTTGTATGAGTAAAGTAATATAAGATTTATTTTGTAAAAAAATACTAACTTTATTTCACACTTTTATTAGAACCTTATTCGTAAAGCCTCGTATATACTTAACGTTTTACCTGTCAGCCTTGCCTGTTCAGTCAAAACGTATCTATCAAGTAGAACCTGGTGTGTAGTCGAAAAACGGATCGTTTTACTTGAACTGAATTAAGGCCGAAGACCTAATCTATCTATATCTAGACCTATCGACTATTTAGTCGCCTAACCAAATCACATGCAATCAAATAATAGTCGGCCGATCGGCTCCAGTTTGTATTGTTTTCACTTTTACAACTAAATATTCGGTCGACTAGAAATTGCATGTCCACCCGAGACTTATTTTCGAATATTTCCCTTTACTGTATCCAAACTATTTAAAAGCGTAAGTCAGAGAATTTAAGGTGTCTTGTTTTTCAAATAAATTTTTTTTTTAGAAAGTATGCGATAATTTTTTTGAGTAGTTTATATGCAATAAATTACCCAACAAGCAAAATTTATTGCTGGAACATTGCCAAAACTTCGCAAAGCATGGTGTAACATTGCTTTTTTCATTGTAGGGAGGTTTATGCAAGGTTTCAGGGTAGCTTAATCTTTCGCCAAATAACATTGCAGTGCAAGGTTGCATTTCACAATATTATTGAAACGTTGCTAATGTAACGTTCAAGAAAGTACTAATTTGGGATGTATTAGCAATATTGTTAATTTTACGTCAATACAATATTGATAAAATTATAGTATTAATTATAATTAACTGGACATATTGCTAAAATAATATAGCAAAAAATAGATAATGTTTGCATTAAAAAACCATTTCATTCATCAGAGGGAAAATATAAAAATTATTTTTTAATATTTACTTATCAATTAATGAAACAGTTTTTTCTTGAGAACATTAGCAATTTTATGCAATTTTATGTTAACAATAATACATCAGCAATAGGTTATAATCAACAAAAACATTAATAGGTATTAAATTGTAGACTTTCAGATAGGTATAATATACTTTTACTAATATTGTATTGACGAAAAACATAAACAATATTGATAAAAATATGTTGTATATCTCTATATTCATTGACTTAGAAAAATTAAAAATGCTCGGTAAATATATCCCTACCAAGAAAGTCGAATTTGTCAAACAAATTGAAAAAAAAAATAAAAATTAGAAATTTATCACTTATTATATTTATCGCTTACTTGTTTCAAAAATATCAAAAATACTGTCAAGTACTGAGAATTTCCTGATCTTTTCGGCTGCTCATTAAATAAGGAATTACTCAACTCTGACCTCCCAGTTGAATTTCTAAAAAAAATCTTAAAGTTGAATGTCTGAAATAATACAAAATACAGGGTGGGCCAATGGAAACTTTCCACCCCAATTTTTCTTGTTTAAAATTAAAATTTGAAAAAACGCTCGGACACGTCGATTTAGTTTTCGAGGGGGAAAAGAAAATATCATAAAATCACTTTCACACTTATAACCCCCAAGGGGGGGGGGGCTGCGCCACCCCTAAATTCTTAAATGGGAAGGGTGGCCGAGTGATACCTCATGTGAAAGGTCTTTCAATTCCCTTTTTAATGATATAGATATCATGTACTTTCGTTCAGTAGTTTTAGAGATTTATTGATTTAAAATAGATTTTAATTTATCAGCTAAGTGGTGAAAAAATCGGTTTTTATGTTTTTTCTCTCTCTGTATGTATTTTTTTGGTAAACTATGTATACTAAAAATTAAGCTTTTAAATAAAAAAGCTTATTTTTTTTATTTTTTAAAATTTCTAAAAATTTTCCCACAAAATTGAGCATTTTTCACTTATTCCGAATTGAAAGATTTTTGGGCGTGGATCGATGCAGATTGATTAGTTAAAATTTTTAGTATACATAGTTTGCCAAAAAAATACATACAGATAGAGAAAAAAAAAATAAAAACCGATTTTTTCACCACTTAGCTGATAAATTAAAATCTACTTTAAATCAATAAATCTCTAAAACTACTGAACGAAAGTATATGATATCCGATATCATTAAAAAGGGAATTGAAAGACCTTTCACATGAGGTATCACTTGGCCCCCCTTTCCATTTAAGAATTTAGGGGTGTCGCCGCCCCCGTCTTGGGGGTTGTAGGTGTGAAAGTGATTTTATGATATTTTCTTTTCCCCCTCGAAAACTAAATCGACGTGTCCGAGCGTTTTTCCAAATTTTAATTTTAAACGAGAAAAATTGGTGTGGAAAGTTTCCATTTGCCCACCCTGTATATAGGTACAGTTAAACATTATTTTATATTTCTTATTCAAAAATACAAAAGAAAGTATAACATTAAATGTATGTAGAAAGAAAAGCAAACTTATATTTTAATTGATTTTTTGGATCTTTCATATTTTGTCTTCGCATGTTGAATTGTCTTATTCATGGTTTCAAATTCCTCTTCGGTAAAGTTTTGAAATCTATATCCAATCATTTCTAAAGTAGTAAAAATAAAAACAATCAGTTGTAATAAATAAAGCAATGAGAAACTTACCTCTTGTAACAGTAATCTTTGATGTCCTTATTTTAAAAATTTCAAATGATTATAACATCATTTATAACATCATTAAAAAAAATATTATTGAGAATAATTAATACTGAATATTATTTGTGAGATTATCATTA